ACCTGAGGCAGGTGCGCGGCTCAGCGGGGCCGCCCGGGCCCGGCCCAGAGCGGCGGTGGCGGCGGCGAGGAGAAGGGAGGCGAGGCGAGGAGAAGGGAGGCGAGGCGAGGCGGGGGAGCCCCGGCTTGGGCAGGAGTGAGTATCCCCACACAGGGCAGGTGGGCTCCGCGGCGGGGGGCTTCCCCCTCCAGGGTGGGCGGCCGGGCGGCTGGCTGTCCGGGGAGCCGCTGGGGCGGGCATGGCGGGGAGGGGATGGAGCCCTCTACCTCCCTTGTCGCTGCAGAAGCTTCCCCTGTCGCTGCAGAAGCCACCCAGGAGGGCGCGGGGCGCATTTTTACTATGAGGGTGGTGAGACAATGGAACAGGTTGCCCAGGGAAGTTGTGGATGCCCCATCCCTGGAAGTGTTCAAGGCCAAGCTGGATGGGGCTTTGAGCAACCTGCTCTAGTAGGAGGTGTCCCTGCCCATGGCAGGGGGGTTGGAACTCGATGATCTTTGAGGTCTCTGCCAACCCTAAGCATTCTATGATTCTATGTGGTGCATCCTCTGAGTAGAAACCTAAGAAACATCAAATACAGCCTTGACGTAGCCAGGCTGCTAGTGGAGTTGAGCACATGTGCTCTGCGTTTTTCAGAAGGGCTTGAGTATTTTATTTTTTTTTTTTTTCTTCTTCTTGTATCTGGCTTCATCTGCTGGGATATCCTGGTGTAAAGAACCTGGCTGGGTTTTGCCAGGCTGGCTGCCGGCCCTGTGGTGGCAGGGTGTGGCTGGGTCTGGATTCCTCGGCTGCTTTCAAGACTTGTTTGCCTTGTTATTCCGTCAAAAATTGGCACTTTGGAAGTTAAAATAGAAATGCCAGATTCTGAATTTTGTGCCAAATCTGTGACTTTGAAATGAGAGTGGTGACTAGTCAATTGTCATAACCTAAAAAGCTAATATGTAGCATGTTTTCTGTAGAATGGAACACATTTCCTTTTCACGTGCTGGCCTGCATACCTCCCATTTGTTGTAAATGCAGTTGTACAACTGCATTTGTTTATATTTAGTTAGTTTACTTTGCAGCAGAAATGACTGGGAGTCAGAAACAATGATTCTCTATCCAGCATCCCCCTCCTCGCACGCTGCAGCGCTCGGCTGTCTCACAGGTCTGCTTCTAGGTGTCAGGAGTGAAAGGTGGTGAAGCCAGAAGGGGCCGGGGCTCTGCTCAGTCACCAGATGTGGCCTCAGTGAAGGAGAGAAGGGCGAGATGGGTCAGTTGTGTAATTCTCACATGTAGCTCTGTCATGTTATATCACCTGAGCAGTGCCTTCATTCCTGCTTTCTACCACATGGAGTGCCTTGAGGTGTCAATATAGGAAATGAATTCACCACCACCACTGCTTTTCTGTGCATTTGTGAGTGCTTTGAAAGACCATTCCAGAGTTCATATAAAACTCAGTGTTTGTATTTGTGTATGTAACATGTAGGTGTGCCTCACTCTGACAATGAGATCAAGTATTTCATGTTTCCATGTCTTGGGGAGAGGAGTGGGGAGGATGGTTATCTTGAACCTTGTTCTGCGTTCTCAGCCGTCAGCAGTGGAAGAAAGTCGCAGTCTGTACCTTCATCAATGTCAATTTCATACCTTTGAGATGAACAGAATTTGCTGTTGTTCTTTGTCTTTTGTCATGATTTCTCACCACTAAGAATTACTCTTTCTGATGTGATGAGGGTGTTGTTTTTTTTTTTAAACATCCATTACACTGCTGTAGAAGAGCTTGCAATGCAAGGCTGCTGTGAAGAATAGGAATAGGCTTTATGACTTGGAGGGAGAGAAATGCTATTGTGACAAAGACAGTCTAAGAGCTTAAGTAGAACTAGGGCTCTTCAAACTCTCAGTTAATAAATATCAAGCACTTTTTAGTGTTTATTCCTTTTAGTTTGAAGAAACATTTCTTGTATGATTCATTGTAGAGATTAATTCATTGTGGGAATTTGTAACTTCTTAGATTTGACGCATGCATGTAGGGAATTGGGACATATATGAAATAGGGAAATGAGAGGGTCAGAATGTTGGAGACATTTCGACTGATAGAGTTGTTAAATATTTTCTGCAGGAAGTAGATGGAGTCTGTGTTTTGTTAAGGTACCCAAATACTTTTTTCATGTAGATTATTATTGTAGCATATGAAGATATTTGGTAGCACACACTGGGGCTGTAGTCTCTCACATTTTTGTTCTATGTTTCTGTTCCTGGTGAGAAAATAAGATGTTTTTTAAGATTTTTTTTTTTTTTTTTGAAAAGCACAGCTTTGTTTTACTTAAAGTTTTCTTGTGTGAATGTATTTGTTTACCTGCTTTGAATTGCCTTGAAGTGTATTCTTCATGATTAAAATAGAGTTAGCAAGCCAAAGCTGGGATTCCCTTTAGGATTTTTTCCCTTACTCCCGTGTCTAAACTTCACATATCGCACCAACTCTTGTATTAACATGAGGAGAGACAGGCAGAACTGAATTTCTAGTTCTGACTTAGCTTCGGTCGTGCTACCTATCTGGCTTGGTGGGCAGCACCCAGCCCCTTTGGTACCAACTGTTTGCACATCAAACATGCTACAATAAGTGTATATGAAAGACTTGCTAAAAGAGTTTCAGGTAGACAGCTTCCCAAGGCTTGGGTGGTGGAGTGGATAGGTGTGGTGGTGTGTTTTGAGCAAAAGCCTGCAATTCTCGTACAAATACTTGGAAGAGTTCATTTGTTAGTCTCAGACAACCCCCAGGGTAACTCTGCCTTTGGTGCTTGTTACAGAGCCTACCACTGTCTATGTATTTTTGCAAATGCTAGTTTCTGACTATCTTTGTACAAACTGAGTGATTTCTTCCCCATGCTCCTTGTGTTTATCCTCTCTCCTAGTGTGAAGGTTACAACTCAGTTATATAATTGTGGACTCAGGATTTTAGCATTCTTGTAATTGCTAAAAATTACAAGGATTTTTTGAAGACTTTCAGCTACAGGTGTTCCACTGCTCTGCCTGCTGTGCAGCTAAGCAGATGCCTGATGAGCTTTTTGGAACAAATCCTCTGATTCAGCTGTGCCTCAGGCAGTCAGTGGCTATCTTCACATGCTCCAGTTCCTTAGAAATAAGAAGACATCACCTAGTTGAAACATCTTGCATGTACGAAGGGAACACTTTTTTCTTTAAAGTGTCTTGTTAGTGAAATCGGTATAATTTTGCCGTCATGTATTCCAGCTCTGACCAGAAAGTTCATCATTCTAGGAGATGAGAAGAAATTCAACATCTCTATTTAGAATTTCTGATCTGAATTCCTTACAAAAAATGCTGGGAACCTGAGTCATCAAATGCTTTTGATAATGTGTGTTACTGGTTTGTTTTGGGATTTATTCTTTGGTTTTTCTTGCTTTTTTATTTTTGCCTTTTTTTTAATTTTACTTTTCTTAAGGAAGTTAAATTAATTCAAAGTGAGGACTGATATCCCATGAAGTTACCGAGTGGTACTCTTTGTTCTTTGCTGTTTGTTGAGAAAAGTAATAAAAAATATGCATACAATGAAACTGTAGACATGGGGTTTTTTGCATGTTGGTGGGGGTTTTAGCATTAACAAAGTGGATATTCCATATGAAAAAGATTGAGATCCTGTTGTCTAGAAAGGCATACATAATTGATAGCAAAATCTGAAAAAGCATCTTGTGAACACTATCAGCTAACCAAAAACCTTGTATGCTTTTAGACTCTATATGTGACAGTATTCACACTGACATAGCTAACAGGCTTTTATCACATCTCATACAATTTAATTTATTCAGGTAGCCTGTGCAGAGGCTAAGCTTATTTTTGATATGTTATTTTATGTAATTACTGCATTTCAAATAAATTTTGCTTTGCTTTCAGAAAGGTCATCAGTTAGCATCTCTCTAAGCTTGAGTTTACAAAATCCCTATGCTTAGAGGACAACAGCCTAAGAACTTGAGCAAGCAGGATAAGTTTTCTCCTTTAAAAAATGTCATACCAGAAAGCCCTGCACCGAAGTTAGGTGCTTATAAAGTCTGCAAAGAACAATTTGCCTTAGAACACCGGCTAATAGTAAAAGTAGTACAAATGCAGGTTGAAGATGGGGTAGTTTCCCTCTCTGGGTTCAGAGTTACCACAGTTACATGCTTCCAATAATACTGATTTCCTTCACGTTATCTTCAGAGGTATTGCGATTTCTATAATTCAAAGTAATACATTTAAAAACAAAACAAAAAAACCACCCAAAAACCCCCTCACAAACAGAAAACACAGGCTTGAAACAAGAAGGAATAAAGGAAGGAATATTTTCTCTGTCTCTGTTCATTTCTATCAATGGAAAGGCTTCTGTGTTTGAAGTGGTTCTTTTTGAATAAAGTCTTGTGATTCTGCTGTAGGTTTTGGGTTGACTCCATACTGTGTATTTGTATACCAAAATCCAGATAGGGATGTCTGGGTTTCTCGTCGTTGTTGTCTGACTTCTTAGCTGTCTTGAAATAAGCATACAGGTGCAATGCAAGATTCCATACAGGTTTTCAGAAGTACTAATCTTTAAGATGGCATTTGTCATTTCCCTTCTCTGCTTCCCCTCAAATTACTGTGATTTAAATATATAAATATATATATGTAGTTTTGGAAATGTAAGCTTCATAAATTCAAGAATGATTTCTTACTATAGCCATCTCCCTGATTCAATTAAAAAAAAAAATCTTCAAAATACTGTAAATGTCTTAGCTTTATATATTTATATAGTGATAGAAATGTCTGTCAAATTCTGTTCTTTGAGGAATAATTGTTGGGCTATTTTCCTTTCAGAGAAGGTGCTATCTTCTGTTATGACATTCCTGTTTCGTATTTGTGCTCTTGAAGGCTGAATTTAGTTGTAAATTTAGTATGCTCATGAGGTTTTTCCTGTGTACAGGCTGCTGCCAACAGCTAACTTTAG